TCGCAGACATGGGAAGCACCTACTGACAGCACTTCCGTTTTATTCAGCTGCAGTTTATTAGCCCACATGCAGCCCTTCACTGCCTCCAGGCACTAGTTCAATGTCTTGACAGCCTCCCCTGTTTCAGATGGAATGACGAGCTAGAGCTTCATGTCATCAGTATACTGATGGCAGCAAGATCAGAATTCCCAGATGAGAATTCCTAATGGTTCATTATAGATGATAAATAACATGGGAGATGGAATGAGACTCTGTGGGACTTCATAGCCCAAGAGCCATGGCATCGAGCCACAATCTCCTAGTACGACTTTCTGGTGCCTCCAGCTCCCACCACCTTGAGTACCTTCTACACACATTGTGTAGAAGGGCACAATGGTCAGTAGTGTCAAAAGGCACTAAGAGGTCAAGGAGAATCAATAGGGTGTGTCTCCCGATACAGATGATGAATGTACCTCTGCACCTCTTATGGAATCCTAATAAGTGAACTGATTGGAGCAACATTAACCAACTTTAAAAATGTCTTCCATGATCCCGTTTCAATTTTATCCCTCATTAGCCCAACTATATCAGTTAAAGTGCAGTGGAAGAGAAAAGGAGTTTCTTTTCTTTTATTCTTTAAAACAATGTGGCAATGGTCCTGTCTACCAAATGCATGGACAATCAAAGAAACAAGGCTACCAAAGGCGTAAGAAAAGTGCTTGCATGCGTGCTATGCATAAATAAATAAATAAGCAAACACAGGTGGCACTGTGGTCTAAACCACCAAGCCTCTTGGGCTTGCCAATTGGAAAGTCGGCAGTTCGAATCCCCGTGATGGGATGAGCTCCCATAGCTCTATCTCAGCTCCTGCGAGCCTAGCAGTTCGAAAGCACACCCATGAAAGTAGATAAATAGGTACTGCTGCAGCAGGAAGGTAAACAGCCCTTCCCTGTGCTCTGGTTTCCATCATGGTGTCTCGTTGTGCCACAAGCGGTTTAGTCATGCTGGCCACATGACTCAGAAAGCTGTCTGTGGACAAACACCGGCTTCCTCAGCATGAAGCGAGATGAGCGTCGCAACCTCATAGTTGCCTTTGACTGGACTTAACCGTCCAGGGGTCCTTTTCCTTTAAAAAAAATAAAGGTATAATACTAGAGATCTCTCAAGGAAAGCTGTGTGTAAAGAAAATAACAAATTATATTTTTGCTCCCAGTCCCAGGATCAATTTGTGTTAGGCAAGCTGTGTGTATTCCATGGGGCTGCTGCTGCTGGTTACCACCACAATCTAAAAGTCATAATTGACTGAGAAATAGCGGTGGCTGCCTGCTTTATGAATCTAGGATGGTGTATTCATATTCATATTCAGAGAAAACTTGGCCAGGCCTCATACATTTATTTTTAGGCTACATGCCAGCTAGGCCATAGGATGCTCCTAAGGCTGACAAGGGAGTGATAATGAATTCTTCAGCACCTGCAGATTACTAATCTTAATTCATTTGAGTGTGTGTGTATCTCTCTTTCTCTCTGTATTAATAGTCTGCCAAGGCCCCAAGATTAAAGTTACAATTTTTCTGAGTCACCTAGTGCTTTCTTCTCTTTAGTCTGTGATTCTGGTTCCAATCCACTCTATAAAACAAAGCCACGTGTTCACCATTCATTTCTATGGAGAATCTAAAAATAGCTGTAACTCCCTCTACCCACTCTTTGGCAGAAACAAATAACATCTGCAGGCACAGAAGCCTGCAAATCTTTTAAGTTTGTCAAATTGTGTGTTCAGACCCAGAAACCTCCCCCCTAAATAAATTCACACTTGACTCAAATTTTTGGTTTGGTTTTTGGCAGAATTTAGGCCACAACTTTATTGATTACAGAAAGTGAGTGGTTGCTCTGGTTCAATTAGCTCTCTGCCATGCAGGTAGCGCTGACCCAGGGTTCCAGCATAGGTCAGCCAAGGGTGAACACCTGGATAAGTGGAAAGCTGGGAACGGGCTAACTTCGCCACCCAAATGTCCCCTGGACTCAGGCACAGGCACAACCCCTTCTCAGGGGTTGACCAAACTATGGAGTCCCTGGATTCCTTTAACGGAATACCCTTCACATAGGGATGGCGAGAGCGTTCTCCCATCTCTATCACATGAACAATCGCCTATCCACAACCTTACAAGTTGTTACAATTTGCTACACGGCAGGCAAAACTCAAATGGCAACAGCCAATCAGCCAAGTGGGGAAAATTCCTGCCGTGCCCCTGTCCCAACGACAGATGACACACGGCGGCATTGCAAGGTCAAGTGCACAGCCTAAAAGTAGGGAGAGGTGGGCAGGTGTTCCGAATGCACGCACCAAAAGAGGAAGCTCTGGGTCACGTTCATGGGCATATATAGGTTCCTCAAACCATTTAGACTGCGTCCCATTGGCCAGATTGTACCCAGCTTTGAAGGACCTACCAATCGGGTGTTGTGGCTGACCAATTGTACCCACCCACAACACAGGGTGTCAGTTTTCCAGGTCTCACTGCAATACATGCCCTCTTTAAGGGAGGACCCGATTTGCAGGCTCAGGGGCTTTGATGGGACAAGTAAAAACATTTATTTAAGTCACTGTTTCTCAAACTTGAGTCTCCAGCTGTTGTTGGACTACAGCTGCCATCACTCCTAGCTAGCAGGACCAGTGGTCAGGGATGATGGGATCTTTAGTCCAACAACAGCTGGGGACCCAAGTTTGAGAACTGCTTTAAGCAGTCTTGAACTGGGTTGTGGTGCATCCCTATCTTAAAAAAGCCTCTCTGGAGTCTAACTATCACCCAGGGCCAAATATCACCATTTTGTGCAAGGTGCTTGAGAGAGTGGTGGTGGTCTAGCTCCAGGCATGCTGGGAAGGAACTTATTATTCGGATCCATTCTAGTCTGGCTTCAGGCCTAGTCATGGCATTGAAACTGCCTTGGTCACCCAGGTTGATGACATTTGTTGAGAGACAGTGTGGTGAGTATGACCCTGCTCTTTCTCCTTGATCTCTTGACATTTTTCAATATCCTTCTGGAACATCTCAGGGAAGGTAGTGGTTGGGGGCCCAGGTCTATGCCTGATTGGCTGATGCTCAAAGAGAGTGCTTTGTTTTGAAAGCTCCCCTTGTTATGTTTCTAATCTGTCACAAATTGATTGACAATAGCTTGTCTTCTCTAATAATGGTTTTACCTGGCCCTCAAGTGATATCTTTACAATGCAGTGAACTGAACTCTATTGCTCCCTCTGAAAGAATCAGAGATAGCATTTGTGACTTGTTCTGTATATCACACACAAATTTGCATGCACACAAACACACACAAACCTGGGCACTTTACAAAGTCATGAGGTTGGATCAAAATGTGTTTTCCTGCACAAACATTTTCTGCTAATGGAAGGGTGGTGGTTTTTTAGAAGCTAAATCCAAAAACAGTATTCCATTTTTGCAGAAAGAACCATGAGGATGACTAAAGCATCTACCCATTAAAGCACTGTTGAACTCTTAAGGAAGCAGCTCTTTTCCTTCAGCTTACAGTCCCTTAGATCCCTCCCATTATTCTGAATGTCACTTCCAAACTTTTGTCAGTTCACTAGTCCTTCTGTTAGTTGTCACACAAAAAGTATAGAGATATCATCTTGTTAAAACATGGGAAATAATGGCTGATCATGTTATCGTACCCTTGTGCTATTGAATGACTATTATTTAAATATGAATTATTCAGACAATTAGAAGAAAAGATTGTCAGTATGTAGAAACAGACTCCTTTTTAGAGGGGCAGTCAGTCATGCAGGAATATCTCTTTCAGTCATTACAGAACTATATTCATATACATTGCTGCTGCTTCCCAAAAACATTTGCAAATGTACTGAGAAATGAGATTAAAATTGGCCAGAGCTGACAATGTAGGCAGTAGACACTGTTAATAAAAAACAGTTATGATACCTAAGAATCCTTGAATTATCGGTTTTCTCCATAAGGAAGTCACAGATGTGACTTGCCAACTTCTATCAGACTTCCGTAATTAAACTGTTCATGCCCTCAAAGTTATTACTAATTCTTGTTACTGAAAATTGATTTCCACTCTGGTTTCAGTTAGATCTGCCAAGTTAAATGTCATAGAAAAATAGTTTATTTAATTTGCAATATCATCCTTACATTTTAAATGTGCTTGGACATCCAGAAACATTTGGGAAGCACCTGAACCTTTCATTCAATCCCTACTTTATGAAATATTGAAAACCTATTGCGATTTATCATACTTTATATTTCATTGCCATGTCTTTTTGTGTATTTAAAGTTTAGTTAATACAAACCTGACAGGAGAATGGAAGGTAATTTACACTTTAATGTATTGCAGAATAGCTGATGGCAATGTATTATTTCTGTCAATGGAAAACTACCATTTCTCTGATAGATTGATAGGCTGAGGAAAATAATTTCTCCAAGCTTCATCGCCCCACACTCTCCCACCCCCCCCAAGGCATGCCTGTTGCACAAGTTTATTCTGAGCAGCTGCACAATTCCACACATTATTCTTATTAACACAATTAATTAATGCCAAGTATTGCCAAAATTGGCTTCTATGTGGTTTATAAAGTATAAAACCCAGTGACATAAGCATTAAGACCCCATCTACTCTATACATTTTAAACACTATGATACCACTATAAACAGTCTTGGGAGCTGTAGTTTGTTAGGAGATCTCCCATTCCTCTCACAGAGCTACAGTTCGCTGAGTGGTTTAACAGCCAATCTCTTTAACCAGGGTATTCTCTGAATTTTAGTTTTCTGAGGTCCGTGTCTACTGCAATAATGCATTTCCATGCTAAAGTTGAGCCCCAATCCTCCACCCCAGCTTCCAAAAAGATACCCCCGTGAAGAAAATTGTTATGTACTGAAGTTCTCACCCTGGGCCAGCAGGGGGATACTGTAGATAGTTTTCACTCATAGAATCATAGAATCATAGAATCATAGAGTTGGAAGAGACCACAAGGGCCATCGAGTCCAACCCCCTGCCAAGCAGGAAACACCATCAGAGCACTCCTGACATATGGTTGTCAAGCCTCTGCTTAAAGACCTCCAAAGAAGGAGACTCCACCACACTCCTTGGCAGCAAATTCCACTGTCGAACAGCTCTTACTGTCAGGAAGTTCTTCCTAATGTTTAGGTGGAATCTTCTTTCTTGTAGTTTGGATCCATTGCTCCGTGTCCGCTTCTCTGGAGCAGCAGAAAACAACCTTTCTCCCTCCTCTATGTGACATCCTTTTATATATTTGAACATGGCTATCATATCACCCCTCAACCTCCTCTTCTCCAGGCTAAACATGCCCAGCTCTCTTAGCCGTTCCTCATAAGGCATCGTTTCCAGGCCTTTGACCATTTTGGTTGCCCTCCTCTGGACACGCTCCAGTTTGTCAATGTCCTTCTTGAACTGTGGTGCCCAGAACTGGACACAGTACTCCAGGTGAGGTCTGACCAGAGCAGAATACAGTGGCACTATTACTTCCCTTGATCTAGATGCTATACTCCTATTGATGCAGCCCAGAATTGCATTGGCCTTTTTAGCTGCTGCGTCACACTGTTGGCTCATGTCAAGTTTGTGGTCAACCAAGACTCCTAGATCCTTTTCACATGTACTGCTCTCAAGCCAGGTGTCCCCCATCTTGTATTTGTGCCTCTCATTTTTTTGCCCAAGTGCAATACTTTACATTTCTCCCTGTTAAAATTCATCTTGTTTGTTTTGGCCCAGTTCTCTAATCTGTCAAGGTCGTTTTGAAGTGTGATCCTGTCCTCTGGGGTGTTAGCCACCCCTCCCAATTTGGTGTCATCTGCAAATTTGATCAGGATGCCCTTGAGTCCATCATCCAAGTCGTTGATAAAGATGTTGAATAAGACCGGGCCCAAGACAGAACCCTGTGGCACCCCACTAGTCACTCTTCTCCAGGATGAAGAGGAACCATTGATGAGCACCCTTTGGGTTCGGTCAGTCAGCCAGTTACAAATCCACTGAGTGGTAGCATAGTCAAGACCACATTTTACCAGCTTCTTTACAAGAATATCATGAGGCACCTTGTCAAATGCCTTGCTGAAATCAAGGTAGGCTACATCCACTGCATTCCCTTCATCTACCAGGCTTGTAATTCTGTCAAAAATGAGATCAGGTTAGTCTGACATGACTTATTTTTCAGAAATCCATGCTGACTATTGGTGATCACAGCATTCCTTTCTAGGTGCTCACAGACTGTTTGCTTAATGATCTGCTCCAGAATCTTCCCTGGTATTGATGTCAGACTGACTGGGCGGTAATTATTTGGGTCCTCTCTTTTCCCCTTTTTGAAAATAGGGACAACATTTGCCCTCCTCCAGTCTGCCGGGACTTCACCTGTTCTCCAGGAATTCTCAAAGATGACTGCCAGTGGTTCTGAGATCACATCTGCCAGTTCTTTTAATACTCTTGGATGCAGTTCATCTGGCCCTGGAGACTTGAATACATCTAAACTAGCCAAGTATTCTTGTACTATCTCCTTAGTTATTCTGGGCTGTGTTTCCTTTGCTGAATCATTTGCTCCAAATTCTTCAGGTCGGGCATTTTTTCTTTATCGGAGAAGACTGAGGCAAAGAAGGCATTGAGGAGTTCAGCTCTTTCTGTGTCCCCTGTTTGCATTTCACCATCTTCTCCTCTGAGTGACCCCACTGTTTCTTTGTTCTTCCTTTTGCTACGGACATACCCTTAAAAGCCTTTTTGTTGCTTTTAACCTCTCTAGCAAGCCTGAGTTCATTCTGTGCTTTAGCTTTTCTGACTTTGTGTCTACATGTGCTGGCTATTTGTTTGAATTCCTCTTTGGTGGTTTCCCCTTTTCCATTTTTGTACACATCCTTTTTAATCTTAACTCAGTTAAAAGTTCTTTAGATAGCCACCCTGGCTTCTTTAGGCACCTTCCATGTTTCTGTCTCATTGGTATTGCCTGACGTTGTGCTTTTAGTATCTCCCTCTTAACAAACTCCCAGCCATCATGAACTCCCTTTCCTTTTAGTATTACTGTCCATGGGATCTCACCCAGCACTTCCCTAAGTTTTATGAAGTCAGCTTTCTTAAAGTCAAGAAATTGAGTCCTAGTATGCTTGGCTGCTCCTTTCCGCTGTATAGTAAACTTCAGAAGAGCATGATCACTCGCGCCTAATGATCCTTCCACTTCTACCCCACTAACCAGGTCATCAACATTGGTTAGGACCAGATCTAAAATGGCTGTTCCTCTTGTTGCTTCTCCCACTTTCTGGACAATGAAGTTGTCTGCAAGGCCAGTGAGGAATCTGTTTGACCTTATGCTCTTGGCTGAGTTTGACATCCAACAAATATCCGGGTAATTGAAGTCCCCCATTACTACTATCTCCCTTCCTTTTGCATGCTTGGCCATCTGTTCCAGGAAGGCATCATCTATGTCCTCCGTTTGGCTTGGGGATCTATAGTAAACTCCCACAATGAGGTCACTGTTATTCTTCTCTCCCTTAATTTTGACCCAAATGCTCTCACTTTGGCTTTGAGGTTCTAAATCTTGGATCTCTTCACAGGTATACACATCCCTGACATATAACGCCACTCCTCCTCCTTTCTTGTCTGGTCTGTTTCTCTGAAATAGATTGTATCCCCCATTATTACATTCCAATCGTGGGACTTATCCCACCAGGTTTCAGTGATGCCTATTATGTCATATTTAGTTTGCTGTACCAAGAGCTCAAGCTCATCTTGTTTATTTCCCATGCTTTGCGCATTAGTGTACAGACATTGAAGTCCATTAATCATTCCCCCGTGACTCTTATTTAAGGATTTTTTCCTCCCACCACTAGGTCTGTGTGCTGTTTGCTCCATTTGGTCTATGACATTTGGATGATCATCTTCATCAATTGATAGACTCCTACCTTCAGGAGCACTGTCTTCCTCCCCCACATTAGTCAGTTTAAAGCCCTCCTGATGAGGTTTCTGAGATTTTTGGCAAAAACATTTCTCCCAACCGTTGTGAGGTGCAGCCCATCGCTTGCCAGAAGTCCATCTTCAAGAAACTGCAGTCCGTGATCTAAGAATCCAAACCGTTCCTGTTTACACCATTTGCGAAGCCAGCTGTTCACTTCCACTATTTTCCCTCTCTCCCTGGGCCACGTCGTTCAACTGGGAGGACAGATGAGATCACAATTTGTGCATTTAATTGCTTCAATTTCCTGCCCAGAGCCTCGTAGTCTCTTTTGATCTTCTGGAGGCTATTGCTTGCAGTGTCATTGGTTCCCACATGAACCAAGAGGAAGGGGTATTTGTCAGTGGGTTTTATGATTCCTTGCAGTCGTTCAGTTACATCTTGGATCTTAGCCCCGGGAGACAGCACACTTCCCGAGACATCTTGTCAGGCCCACAGATCACTGCTTCTGTTCCCTCAGTAGGGAATCCCCTATCACCACTACACGCCTCCTCTTAGGTTTGGTCGGGGTTCTTCCGTGAGCTGTCCGCTCCAAGGTCGCCTGCACATTCCCTGAGGACTGACTTTGCTGCTCGTCTTCATATACCTGATCGACTGTAACGAGGAGAGATCCTCAAATGGAGTCAGCTCTTCGTCTTCCATGCTAGGGGAGAGGACCTCAAAGCGATTGTGTATTTCTAAACAATCAGAGCGAACCCTGGGCCTCCTACTTCTTTGAGTCACGTTTCTCCATATATCTGGCTCCTGTGTTGGTGAACTAGCGTCCTTCTCAGGGGAGTCCCCTGTCTCCTCCTTGGTGGAGACGGTGTGCTCTGTTGCTTCCAAGAAGAGCTCCAGCTCTCTAATTCTTTGGAGCGTAGCTACACGTTCCTCCAGTTGCTGGACTTTGTCTTTTAAGAGGGCAATCAACATGCAATTGCTGCAGGTAAAGCTGCCTGCAACCTTTGGCAAGATGGCAAACATTGCGCAGGAACCGCAGGCGACTGCAGCTGTTCCCTCCCCCTCCATCTTCAGAACGTGTCGTTGGGGGTGGCTACAGCGGTCCTCCATCATAAAAAGCGTGAAGAAGTGCACTCAGGTCCACTTATGCAAATAAGGAATTGAAAGTGACGTTAAGTGATTGGATAGTTACAGAAAATTGTTACTGTTGTGTTGTAGTGGAGCTCTATATAAGCAAGCTGGCTGAACCCTTCAGTTCAGTTCTGTTCTAGCCTGTGAATAAACAAGAGCTGTTTGAAGAATCGCTGTGTCATCTGATATGTTCACCCACAACTTAACAAAAAAAAGACCTGTCTTTCTTCTCATTTCTTTAGGAGATGGAGATAAATGTCTCCAAAAACCTTGAGGAAAGTGTTGTCATTTAACTTAATCTGTTATCAGGGATTATCAGGGTTCAACCACACATTCCAGACTTGATCTCTATGCACACAAGATTCATATTTGTAGCACATTAAGGGGGCTAAGCAGCAGTTTGCTATCAGTACAGGTGTGTTAAATGAGCAGAACAGCAATACTATCACCTCTTACCCACTGCTTTCTTGGAGGATTCCCCACCCCGGAAATACTAATACTTAACTAGTTTATGAGAGCAGGTGGCCTATTAAAGCCTGCTTGTTAAAATCAGACTCAGACAGCAAACTGAATTTTGCTGTGGACTTCATTAAGACCTGTGCAGCATGCTGAAAGTTCCAGGGGTCAGAGCAAATCAAGTGTATGTTTAAAAGTAATTATGAGGAAGTTATTGCCCAGAGTGAATCCTAAGGTTATAAAATAAAGCAATTGGTGAGTATATAAACATATTAATGGGAAGCTATTAGGCTGTCTTATTAAAAGCATAAAGCACAATACATTCAATATAAAACGGCACAATGTACTTTGTGCTAAAGTTATACAGAGCTTCTGCAGTGACGTTCATATTATTGTTTGAATTATTTGTTCACACACTAACTTCCCTGAATGGTGGAGACTGTGGGGCAGCTTTTAGAAGTGAAACAAGTGCATACACTTCGTGACATATGCAATTTTTTAGGGGGAGGGGGTGAGCCCAAAAATAAATCAAGGGGCACAAAATGTAATAAGATGTCTGACAGACAGAATGTCAACAGATGAACAGAGGTGGAGCTAGCTGCTCCGGGCCCCCGTGCAGCACACATGTTGTCATGCGGGGGGTGGGGTGAGCGTCCCAGGGGGGCGCCGCCCACAGTGAGCAGCGAGCATCCCAGGGGGGCGCCGCTGCGATGTCACCCCCCCTCAGGGATGACACCCGGGGTGGACCGCACCCCGCTTCCTCTGCCAGTGCAGATGAAGCTTTCCCGATAACTGAATTCTCATACTAGAAGAAAGGTTTAAACTGTTGAATTTCTGCCTGCCACACAGTGATTAAAATTACAAGATCTTTGCTCTCCTCAATTGCCAAGCCTAAACACTGCAAAGAACTCAAGTTTCATGAGTTGTAAACCAGTGCAAAGTCTTCATCAATTGATCACAGGCTAGCAATACTACTTCCAGGCTGGTGTAATATTGCAGATGGTGAGGAAAATTATCGTATTTTTCGCCCTATAGGACGCACTTTTTCTCCTCCAAAAATGAAGGGGAAATGTGTGTGCGTCCTATGGGGCGAATGCAGGCTTTCACTGAAGCCTGGAGAGCGAGAGGGGTCGGCGAAAGCCTTGGGATCCCGGCGGGAGTTCCCACGGAAGGCGCCCACTCCATCTCCGGCAGGGATGCAGCGCGCGGGGAGCCTCCGCCTGGGCGGGAGACGAGGCGATGCCGGGGCATCCGGCCGAGCTCCACAGTGCCTGCAGCCGCACTTGCTGCTGTTCTGGAAAGGCGAGCTGCTTCTGACGCGGGGAGAACCAGGGACATGCAGCCGATACCCCTCCGGCCCCGGCCAGGTGAGCTGGTGGGCAGGTTGGGCGGCCAAGCGGGGTTGGTTGGGGGAGCAGGCGGGCGCGCAGCGTGGGGCCACGGAGCCACCCAACGGGAGAGCCGAGCGCAGCCCCTGCAGGAGGACAGCGGGGCGCCACCCATGGAGAGCCCCGCCGCGCTGGAGGACGCACTCCTCAGCTGCCCACCCACCTCGGGGCTGCCTGGTGTTGTGCATCTGGCTGCCCCTCTTTCCTTGGAAGCAGTGCAGGCTGCGAGGGAAGGGGGGATCCCAGATCTCTGCCCGGTATAGCGGGCCTGAGTCCCGGACGCAGCTGAGCTGGGGTGGGCGGCGGGAGGCACCGGAGAGAGAAGCCGGAGAGGTTCGGGAGGGATCTCCCAACTTATTTTCGGAGCGCTGCAGAGGGAGGGGGACTTGCATGCTTAAGGCGGCAAAGAGCCGCTTGCAAAACAACCGCTGATCTTTTGGCACTTCGCATTAGCAGAGGGGGTGGCGAGGGGAAGCATCTGCCCAAGGAGCGGCGGGAGGGGAGGCATTGCTTGTTCTTGTTTCTTTAGCCTTCCGGATTTGCCTGCTTCTGGTGGCGCTTTGGGGCTGATCACCGCGTGCCTGCTTATCACTTGTGGACTTGTTGCTTGGAGACGCCTAGCTCCAGCTGTGCTAACTTTCTCCGCTGAAGTGCAGTGCGCCTGAGTCAGCTTCGGAGCAGACGAAGAGTTCTGCTTGCCGCCTGTGACTCGCCCGGATGGCTCATTCACGGGCAAGTCACTGCAAAAAAAACGGGGATATGCCTTCTTAGCCCCCCCGGAGTACTTTTTGAAAGGCAGTGAGCCTTAAGGCTAGAGAGGTAAAGGAAGCAACACTCCAAGTGAACGACTGCAGACTTCTTTGCCTTTGCAAATGCATCATTTGTCAGACTTCTGAAATGTCAGTTTATGCATCATTGCTTTGGCTATGGTGCGGACCCCTCCCAAAGTTTGTATAAATAACACAAAACAATTTAAAGTGCTTGGTTGTCAGGGTGCTGCCTCATTTTCAGGGACTGTCTCTTAATTCTGGACATCACTGCCCCATAAGGAGCACGATCCCATATCCACAACTGCTAGGCACTGTAGAGACTTCTTAGGATGGAAACCTTATCAGTGCTGGTTGTGTATAAACTTTCTGAGCAGTCAATTATTTGTAGCGAAGCTGTGCTTTGTGGTTGCTTTTTTTAAAAGGGGGTTAAACTTAAGACTCTGTAAAAGGAAGGTTTTACCTGTGGGTTCTGAGATCTTTTTTCTGAGAAATTTTTTTCTTTATTTCCCCCCCAAAAAACTAGGTGTGCCCTATGGGCCGGTGCGTCCTATAGGGTGAAAAATACGGTACATTTAAGATTTGCACAGTCCAAATGCCCATGCTAAAGCAAGCAGTACATTCTAAAAGCATTTGTTGCCACTTTTATTATTTAAATCTCATAATAACTACAGTAATGCTATCAGCACAGGTCAAACACCCACCTTGCCTCTCTCCTACCGTCTTTTTATCAAATGGGATTTGAGCCTTTGACATAAACATACCCCTTTAATCATTTATACCACCAGCAGAAGCAGCTGCCCACCCTAAGAACCCCTTTATTTTTTCCTCCCCGCTCTTTCCAGCTGAGAAAGCAATTAATCGCTTCCCATGTTTCACATTGATTTAACCTGATACCAGCACCTACATTGCCTCCTATCATGTCCCATCTGAAGATTCTTACTAGATTTAGACTTACGGCTGCAGCATCAACAAGCTTTTCATTCTTGATTTGTTTACCTTCTAGTCTGGGGGTAGGAAACTGGACCTGGTAGATATTTGTTTTCCCTATTCCCATGGGCCAAATCTGGTAGGCTGCCTACCTGTTACCCACCTGTCATCAGGTGCCATGATGATTTGAAGACCCAACAATCAGCTGGTAGAACTTCCATCTGGATAGCTCAGTAGGTTTGAGCATGGTACTGTTGCATGTTTGATGCCTCGTAAGGGGCAGCTGCGTATTCCTGCATTGCAGGACATTGGACTAGATGAGCCTCATTAGCTCTTCCAACTCTAAAATTCTACGATTCTAGGACTTCAAAGTACTG